ATCTATGCTATATCTATGCTATATCTATGCTATATCTATGCTATATCTATGCTATATCTATGCTATATCTATGCTATATCTATGCTATTCTCTATGCTATATCTATGCTATATCTATGCTATATCTATGCTATATCTATGCTATTCTCACGAATCTATGAATCAAATTTAAAGTTAGAATTAGGGTTAAAAGAAGTAGGTATAGTTTAGGCCAACCAATTAATATCGGTCAAATAGACAATGTTCAAGGTACTCCAATTGTCACCTAAAGCAAGTTGACACTCGAGGCACAACATAATTCATTATTATAATTAATGTCACGAGATTTTAAAAATAAAAAATCGGAAAAATTGTAAGTACTCAGGTACGCAGATACGCAGACACGCGGTTACGCGTAAGTGGCGCGTATTTTTTGTCTAAATAAAGATGGTATAATTCATTTTATTTTAATTTAACTGTATTATTAAATAAATTTATTAAATAAATTTGTAAAGTATATTATTAAATAAATTTATGAAATAAATTTTATGAAATGAAATAATTTTATGAAAATAATTTATGAAATAAATTTTATGAAGTAATTTATGAATTAATCAAAATTAAAAAAAAAATAACAATATTCGCCATCAATTGTGACACATGCAAACTCTTAAAAAAAATCATTTTCCTTTTTTTTTATTTTATTGTTTTTCAAGTTGTCCAGCTTTTCTCGCCAACCCAGTGGCACCACATAAAAAAAATAAAACATTTAGAAGAAAATTCCGAACGAAACTAAAGGAGAAAAGAACAAGAAATACCGCGAAAAGACTGCACGAATTTAGAGGACGAAAAAGGAACCTTGCATTTAACATTAAACAAGTCAATGGAATAAAAAAAAAAAACACCAATAAAAAGAACGTGAAAATATAAAAAAAGGAAACTAATATATATATATTATATATATAATATATATATACTATATATATGTACAAAAAAAAAAAAAAAAAATTATTTCTAAAACTGTATTGCAGGATGAAGTATGTAAATATGAATGCTGGCAATATAACCACTTTCTTGGCAAAATAGTTGTAATAATCGTAGGAATGAACAAAATATACAATTATGCAGAATTGCGGAAAATGCTTCTGACTCATAAAAAAAAAAAATTTGATTCTAAGAACAAATAAAAGAATGAATAGTGATAAATTAACGATAAGCTTTTATTCTTCGGTTGGTTAAGCTGGATTAAAAAAAAAACGTAAAACGAGAACAAAGGATAGTTAATTCTGAAAGTTCTTGTGAATTGTTCATAACCCGATTGCATATATTTTATCAAGAGTTTGCTTTTGTCTATAAAGCGCACTCAACCTTTAGAAATTTAAATAAAATAAATAAATTAAATTAAATAAATTAAATAATAGCACATTATAAATTATATTTTTTTTACCTTTTCTCCTTTTCCAATTCTGCATTCAAATAGACACAAGTCTGATTCAGACGATTGATTTCATCAAGAAGAAAAGATTCCTTCCTTGATTGATTCTTTAGATGCGAGACAGCTTTACACAAAAAAAAATAGATAATCATTGTTAACAAATTTTGTGAATTACGTGCGTCATTGTTGGGTAGCACCAAAAATATAAATATAGAAATTGTGTTCACCTTTCTGTAGTAAAACAGCTTTACTCATCTTGCGACCTGTATAAGTGGTCGGGAGCTGTCTACGGAGTTCCTCAAAACCATCTTTGATTTCTGCACGTCGTTTTTGCTCTGATTGAATGTGTATTTGACGCCTAAATTCGGCATGTGACATTGTGCTGTGATCAATGATAAAATCAATTTTGAGTTAAAATTTTTTTTTTTTTCTGAGATGTAAGATTATAAATTTGTTCTAGCGTATTACATGTACCTGCTTGTGTCATCAATATCATCTCCATCTAAAGAAGAATTATCGAATGGTTCATCACGTGATGACTTTCTCCGCCGGCCACATCCCATTTTTTGACTTTCGTATTTTTCTTTACTATATTGAAAAAATTCTGGAATGTCCAATTCATCCGCTGTGGGAGAGTCGCGATATTCGAGTATAGAAAGTGGTGATGAAGGTGCTGGTGAAAGTAATTGAGAAACTTGTGTTGCTTGAGTTGCTTGCGTGTTGTCAAGAGAAAACATATTTAAAGATACGTTTGGTGGCATTCCTAAAGGAATGGGTGATAGACTATTTAAAGTTGCACCTCCTGGTGGACATGTAAATGTAAAGTCTGAAAAAATAAATTTCAAAAGGTTAAAAAGAAAAATTTAAGCTTTATTAGCTTTTAAGTTTTTTAAAAATATGTATTATCAATAACAATTATTTGAACCGAAAAGTACGCGAGTAAACTTTGTAAAATTTTATTTTACACGTTCTTTTATTATTTGAAATTTCTTTTCGCCGCGTAAACCACACTGAAAGTGTAATAGTCGAGCGCGTTTCGCTTTCAAAAAAATAAATAAATAAAGAATATTTACCTGAGTTTAGAACCACGGGGGTTTGAGCGACTGCTTCAGGTGGAAAGACAAAACTTGAGGAAAACTGCATGTTCTCAAGATACTTTGGCGTGAAAAGCAAAGACTTTTTTGTATTGTAACGAGGGATGTTTTTTTTTATTGTTAAAAAATTATAGATTTTTTTTTTTAGTTGGTATTTAATTATAATTAAAAAAAAAAAAAAGGGAAAAAAAAAATTGATAATGGGAAAATTGTAACGGACAAATTAAATAGAATAGAAATGCTGTAGTAAAATCTATTCTATAAGTAGAATACTAGTAATAAGTAGAATACTAGTAATAAGTAGAATACTAGTAATAGAATAGAAATAAAATATATAAAAATATATATATTATATGTATATATATAATAATTGTATATTGAAGTATTGGATTCACAGGATTAAAGTAGGTGATCAAATTTGGAATTTTCTCTGAAGTAAAAGGTTTTTTGATCGTTCTTTCTTGCCAGAAAAGAAAAGAGAGAAGGAAGGAGGAATAAGTGACAAACGATGCCAATTTATCTGATTTTTAGATTTTTTTTTTTTTTCAACAATCAACATCTGGGGTCACCCGAAGGTCGATCCTTTTATGCAGACATATATAAGACGTATAGCAATCTTACTACACAATCAACATGTTTAAATTCATGATACAATAAGTCTAATGTAATAGAGGACCCTAAATCTTTATTTATAATGAATATTTATACAAAAAAAAATTTTTTTTATATAAATTGATAAATAATAGACGGTTTTTGTACAATTATATGCACAATATAAACATATACCAAGACCTGTCTTAAATTTTTCAAGTCGAAGAAGAAAGGGGTCAAGCAAAAAAAAAGCATGGGAGATAAACAAATCCACCATGTGTTCAACTTTTTTCTCATCATTTTTAGTTTGTGCTGTATATATGCTAATATCCACTTTACTTTATTGTTTGTAAATATGGTGAATGCCAATGTATTTTTTACAATAGCATTTATATTACAAGTTATACATAATATAGAAACCGTCCAAATATTCCATGTGATTTTGTCGTTGGATGTTGTGACTGTTACAAAGATGTGTCGAGTTTCCAAGTTTTGTATATTAAAAATCTTCGATTGCAGTTTGTCTTGTTGTACTTGTCAAGCTATGCAAGCTATGGGAATTTAAAAAAAAAGAAACAAAAAAAACAATAATTATCCAACTTCCTTTTGAGGTTAGTATAGCATAATACTCTGAGGAAGGTCAATCATATATCCATATGGCGGATTCATATGCAACAATTTGAAGATCTAAACATAAATTCATTCTCTTTGATTGTTACGCATTATGATTTTTACTATATTCCTCTAGTAAGAAGAGCAATTTAGAATATGGTTTTGTTTTGTGTAATTGTTAATAACGATGAAATTAGATTTTACATTGCTCTATTTGAATTTGAAGAAACGGAGTGGCTGGCGTATCCACTAATCAATACCTGCTCTTTACCTGGTACTGACTTAAAATTTAACAAGATGAGTTCCATGAAATTTTAATCGAATCCCTTCGCGTTATTCACCACAATCTGATATGATATCGAATTATCCCCATATCGACGATAATCACTGACTTTAGTTAATCTTAACGTCGGAAGTTTCCGTCATGCTGAGAATGGCTAACGTTTAATTTATCTAAATTTATGACACTCCTTAAAAAAAAAAAAAACCCTTTATTAAAATTTATCTAGATTTTGACTTGTAATATCTATGTTCTTAAATTAGAAGAATTTAAACTTTTTATCGACCAATGACGCTCATGTGAACTGAGATTTTCTTGACCAGTATAAAGATCCTTAGATCCTGTTGAAGGTTGATGTACAACTACAATTACGTATCTTTGCCAATATTATTAACGCCAAACATTTAGGCAATTAATTTCTTACAAAAAAATTACAAGTTAAATTAAAAGAAAATATTTATTATACATTTTATTTCTACCGTTTTATTTTGGTTAAAGTGGAAATTACGCCTGTTATTAATAAATCCGTTTTATTATAGATTATAGACTACTCGCTTTATTTTTAACGCTTTAAGTACTATAATATATATTTATATTTATATTTATATTTATATTTAATCTTTACGCATTACATATGATTTATACGAATTTACACTATCATTAATTATAAAATTTTAATTTTAAAACCTTTAGAAAGTTAGCTTACTCCTGACTCGATATATACTTTTTATGCGTAATATAAAATTGGTTCTGATTTAGAAAGTTTAATATATATATTATTGATCAAATAAAAAAAAATTTTAATTGCTTTACTAATTATAATCTTTTTATTTTAAAATATAAACGGCACTACTAATACTATAGTTGTTATACGTATATTGAAAAACTGTTCAATTAACTAAGACCAAATATACTAAATACTGTAAAAATTTTAAATCCTTCAAACTTTATACTAATCTAAATTTGGGCCTTTAATTTGATCTTTATCTTGATTTGTAGTTGTATTTTATAAAGTTTGAAAAAAAATATAAACATTATAAATATTATAAATATATTTTATATATAATAATTGTTAATATTAAAGTAAAATTAGGTTTAAAAAACAAAATATATAGTTTATAATAAAATTTTAAAAATAAATTTTATAATTAAAATATTAAAAAATAATATATTTTATTTTATATTATAAAATATACATTAGTATATAATTAGTATTTATTTTTTGATTTTTTTTAGAGTATATTATTATATTTTTATTGTTTTATTTATGTTTTATAACTTTACAAAATTCAAAAATATATTATATTTTTAACATATTTTATATATACAAATGCTAATCACATTTGGTTGTTTTTTTAATATTTAGATATAATTTGCTACTTTATCTTATATGCTATAATTAAAGTTAACACTTGCAATCAAAATTTCTAATATTTTAATTCTTAGAGTTTCAACCTTTTAATTAGTAAAAAGATTTAAAATTTAGTTACTTCTTTTTTAATTATATTAATTTTATTATTTTTAATATTGTATTTTTTATTTTTTTATTATTATATTTATAATAACTATTAATATTAGTTAGAACAGATTAGAAATTTTTAGGTTTTGGACCTTATAGCTTAGCAGATAAGTTTTTAAACCTTCTATAAACAAAGTTAATAGTTCAAATTAAGTTAAAAGCAATTTTGTTTTTGTAATTTATTAAAGTTATTAATTAAATACAAGTGTAAATATGAATTTAAAATAAAAAAAATTTTAGAAAAAAACCTAATTATAAAGTATAGGCATTATATATAACAGTAGTATTACAGAAAATTATAATTATAAAAAGATTGTATATATAAGTTTTTAAGATTAAAGTAATATTAACATCTTTATATTTCTTAATATAAGTAGTACTAACATTTTTATACCTAACTTGTAGAGTATTTGCTTAAAAGTATAATTAATAACTTGTATAAATAAGTTTTAATTAAAATCTGAAAAGTAAATTTAATTAAAAAAATAATTTAAAAATAATTAAAACTAAAATAATAAAAAAAGTAGTAAATATAAAAATAGGTTGTAATAAAAAATTGACCTAATTAAAATTAAAAACATTTTTTTTTTTAGTATTAAGATGATCTCTTTGGTTCTGATTTTTTATTAATACTTATATTGAATATATATTTTATATAAATATATTTATATTAAATTATCAAACAAATATACAACTAACTATACATATAACTTTTTTATATTACCTATTTAAAGAGTTCATCTGAAGACTTCCTACTAGTTGCTATATCTAACACTTCTGTTTAGATGTTTCATTTAAACTCTTTGATCTGATTCTAATATTAATTTTATCAGGTCATAGACTTAAATCTATTTGTCTTTAACTATAAAACTATAATCTTTAAATTATTTTTATCCTTGAAATAAACTTTTCAGAATGAGTTATATTCTCTTTTATTACTAATCTGATTTGACACTATGCTTAAAATCAATACTTGTAGTCAGAGTTATCTATTAAATCACTATTACTCTTGTAAAGTTCATCTAAACTTTGATATTCATCTTTCTAACTTCTTTTTTATCATCTCTTATTGGTCACAACTTGGAACCAGCAGACTTCTCAGATTTTCAATTCAAATGGCCTAATATAGTATACTTATATATTCTTTTTCTCTGATGATTCTTACAGTTTAGTTGGTTATATGCTTCTTTATATATTGTAATAGAATTTATTTTTTTTCTATATTAGTATATATTTATTTTTAGCTCTATATTATACTTTATAATTTTCCTAATATTTTTAC